ATTGTTGAGAATACGATGGGCTGAAAATATTGACTTGAAATGAAGGGAAGTTTTTTAGCACCATTGAGTAAGGAAATGTCTCTGTGGCCACTAAGTGTCTTCTTTCTATAGTTTCTACGTCTTGACCACTTTTTTTAATGATTCTTGTGGTATAACTAAGAAACTGGCTTACTACTAAACAAGAACTAGCATAATATATTATTGTGATGGTAGAATAAGACCACACTGGAATGGTTGACATTATCCTCAGCAGCTAATTTTCCCTTCCAGTAAATGGATGACATGGCAGGCATTTTCTGAGTGGGCAACTATTTGGGAAATGAGCTAGCAGGCCACATCCTCCAAATGCACTTCCAGCCTCAAATCTATTTCCGAGATAACAATAATCGTGTGTGTGTGTGTGTGTGTGTGTGTGTGTGTGTGTGTGTGTGTGTGTAGAGCTATCATTTATTTATTTATTTTATTTATTTACTTATTTACTCATTCATTCTATCAATCATTTGTTTATTTTAAATGTATATGCCTACCCCCATCTTCCTGTCCAGGCAGACTCTGGCTGGCTTACTGTCATACACATACCATAAAATCTCATTTACACAAGGCCAACAAATTGGTCTAGCTTATGATGTATGGAAGAAGAAAATAATTGTCAAGGGTATCGCAGATATTAAGTCCATAAGTCCTATCAGTCTCAAATTTCTTAAGGCAGTACTGTTATGGGACTGATGGACGTTCTGAGCTAAAACTCTGACAAGATTCAGATTTCAAGGAGGCTAATTAAAACCTTGTTCAAACACACACATCTGTGGGGAAGAAGGAAAAGAAAACGGGAACAGATAAGCATAAACTGAAAGTGTTTGAACAGTTCTACAGTACGGTACTAAGATACAAGATAACTGAAAGTATTAAGTATTAAAATTATTATGAATCTTTCAATCATGCATCTTAAGTTACAAAAGTTTAATTTAAGGTGGTATCAATTACTTTTCATCAAACAGATATTACTGAGATATATTAGGTATATACACAAAGTATTGGAAAATACTAAATGTTTGTGCATGCTAGTGCTCAGTATTGATCTATATATTGTTAAAAGCTACCCAAGTTGGGAGAGTGGAAAAATAGCCTGTATTTCCTCAGTCAGATCTACTGCTTCTATTTCCATTATATTCAGCCTAGAGGACTTAAATATATTAACAGAATTCCAAAGCTTAAAATAAACTTATGTGCATAAGGCAGGCCTCAAGATGTTTTGTTTATTTAGAGCTTCTATGTGAAGTCTGGATTTTTAAAACTAAAACCATATTTTTAAAATTAGATGTTGCTTTGTTTGGACAAAAGCAGAGGGGCCAGATTGTGTTTATTATGTATATTGTAAACTATTCTATTAGAAGAGAACATATAGCTGAAATGGACCATGGCCTAATTCTAACTAAAACTTTTTCAGTGTCTTATGTAGCCCAATAAAGTGACAAGTGCCTGCTTGTATGTGTGCTGAAAGCTAAAATACCGATCTGTTTTCAACAAATTTGTGCAGCCTATTTACTTCATTTCTTGACTCTGGATATGTGTTCATGAGAAATATAATCTATAGAAACAAGCAAGCACAGCCTGTGTTTTGGTGCCCTCTATTGAATGCATACACAGGCAAGATTTCAAAAGGAATTCATTAAAAATTCAACCTACAGTAACATACAGTAGATAAGGCTGCCCCTTTTTTCCTCCTAAAAAGAAAGCAAATACTGAGTCTTAAAGATTGAATACAGAGTTAAATAATCTTAAAAGTATTACATCCATTTGATTTCAATGGTTTTGGTCCATGGATTGTTGGAAAATAATTATTCCTGCTCCTCCATAACTTATTATTCTTGAATAGGAAAAAATACAGAAACAAACTTTTATTGTATTTAAATGGAGAGAAACAAAAATGAACATTCTTGAAACAGCTGTTTTAGGTGTTACAACTTTTCTTTTACTCTGATTTATTTACAACAATGCATTCAATGACAGTTCAAAGTTACAATGGCACTGAAAAAAGAGACTTATGACCACTTTTCATAGTTATGATCTTTGCAGCATCCCCATGGTCACGTGATCAAACTTAAGATGCTGGCAACTGGTTCATATTTATGACCATTGCAGCCTTCCAGTGTCATGTGAACACCTTTTGGAACCTTCTGACAAGCAAAGTCAATGGAGAAGCCAGATTCATTTAACAACCAGGTAACTAACTTATCAACTGCAGTGATTCACCTAACAACTGTGGCAACAAATGTTGTAAAATAGGGCTAAACTTACTTAACAAATGTCTCATTAATTTCAACAGAAATTTTGGGGCAATTGTGATAGTAAGTTAAGGACTACCTGTACTTGTTTAATTCCTTTAACCATGGAAACCTGCAGGGAACCCTAGCAAATAACAGGCACAAAGTTAATTTCTCCTGCTATAAACTACTGAAAGGAGGAATTGGGTCACAAGGTAAGTTAAATACACGTTCCTAGATTGGAAGCCATTTGGGATATAAACATCAGAACTACTGTTGCCTGGAAGTCAGTTGGTATTTATGGTATACTTGGTTCTTTCTTTCTTTTTTATGTATTTCACACTTGAGTACCCATGCAAGATAGCATTGCTACACTCTGCAAGAAGAAATCAATTCTACTCCAAATCTGATAGTTTCCAGGAATTAGAGACTTGCCAGTAGTAGTGAGCCACCACTGGTGAGTCTTCAAGAAGTGACAAGGACAAAGTTCAAGACTAACTCAGCCTTCCATCCTTCCGAGGCCAGTAAAATGAATGCCCAAATTGTTGGGAACAATAGTCTGATTCTGCAAACTGCTCAGAGAGGGCTGCAAAGCAGTATGAAGTAGTATATAAGTCTAAGTGCTGTTGCTATTGCTATGAACTTTTCACCTGGGATCTGATGTGGGGAGGAGATAATGGAAATCATATAATGATTTCTCAGCAAAAGAGAGTAGTGGTTTCATAATATGAGCACAATCTTTATCATGAAGATGAGCTGACCACTTGTCAGTGTATCATTAGGTGATTAGCAAGAGGTTCAAGAAATTCCATTCTAAAGAATTTAAGAGATAAACTCAGTATTAAAATAAATATATCCAGTTATCAAGATTTATGTAATCTATAACTCTTCTTTCTCCATAAATCTTGTTTACCTAAAATGTTAGACATGTGAGCTCAGTATTACTCAAATTCAAATATTTGAATTTGTAACACTTCTATACTTTGACAAGATAGCATTATCACATCAAGGTATAGAATAGAAGATATAAATACAATATAAATAAAATATGAAGATAGCTCACTAGAGCAACTTTGGTACGGGTTCAGGAACAAATCTGACTAAACATATAGGTTTTATTGGGAGGTTTATGCTGCTGTAATTAACTAGAAGGAAAAAGCTGTGAGGCTTCTCTCTGGATGAATTCACAGAGAACTATCTTAAGAGTGTTCTTCTAGGCTGCCAGGTGGAAAATCAAACTTGCAAAACATTTGGCTGATGCCCTGATGCCATCTGAGCTGTTATTAGCAACTGGGTGGTCTTTAGTGTCTCCCGCTTGGGTGGGGGGTTGGACTAGATGACCTACAAGGGACGTCCAACTCTGATTATCTGTTAAATCTGTTAAATTTAGCAAACAAGTTATTTTGGATTTATTCCAAACTCAGTGTCATTTGGGGCAAAATTACATGTCTTATATACCATCTGTCTGATGTCATCAATGTGCTGGTTATATTCAATTAATATAACCTCAAGCCTGAACTATTTTATTGCGCTCTTCCTAGGAAGTCCTTGAAATGTGAAAAAAATGTAGCTAGGCCCAACCATGGCAAGATGGTTGATGAATGGAGCCTCTTGAGATTCTTGATTATCTCCATGTTGAAATAGCTTATTGGTTGCCAATTGTCTTTCAAGATGCTGATAATGCTATTTTACATAGCTTACAGTCAAGATAATTACAGGACTCCTGTTTCCATATAATCTATCGCATACTCCAAGTCATCCATATACCATGGATATATTTGGCATCAAAAACTAATTTAGTTTTCTCTTTGTAATTTAGGAGGTATCTCAAAGCCTTTTGTGTTTTAGCCTTCATGTGGAGATGATTTCCTTGCCTGGTCTACCTAAAGCAGGGATGTCCAACCTTGGCAACTTTAAGACTTGTGGACTTCAGCTCCCAGAATTCCTCAGCCAGCTTTGCTGGCTGAGGAATTCTGGGAGTTGAAGTCCACAAGTCTTAAAGTTGCCAAGGTTGGACACCCCTGACCTAAAGGTTAACAATTAAAATGTTTCAATCCATTTTGCCTAACTAATTGGTTATTGTACAGGTCATCTTCCTTTATACTCTAAAACAGTTTTCTAAAACCAAAACATCTAAGTTTTTTTTAGAAAGAAAATATAAAGCTAGTATTAACATTAATGTTAATAAATATCAATATTTAAATTTTCTGAGAATCACAGAAAAAGTCATGTGGCCGATGGTCTGTCATACTTTATCTAATCTGATGAATGTCTAATATTCAACTAGTGAAAGCTTTACTGCCATTTTTCTTTAAAAATATCAGAGAATGCTGGTTCTTTATTACCTCCACCATGATTGATTATGGAACATATTTTTGCCTTGTATGGACTTCAGCTTTAATTAAATTCTATTGCTTTTCTTTTGTATTGCTAAAAGATTAATTCATGTATTGCTATTTTAAAAGAACTTGGTTTTCAAATTAAATAACAACAATACATTATTTAGCAAATTGTTGGTTCAAAAAGGAAACCAAAAAAATTCAAAGGCAAGAAAGAGTAAAGAAAGCACGTGTGCTATGTAATCTTCCTCCACAGAAGATTAGAAGTACAAATTCATAATTATGGCCACAAGGTGGCTGCCGTGCACAAGAGATGAACTGGTATTCCAGGTATAGGAAAGTAACAACTTCATTAAAGTCAATAAGCAACAAACAACTCTCAAGTCAATCTACTCACTTTTGGAGAAATTCTTGCAATCCTTGGCGACGCTGGTCCACATGTTGAGAATTATTTGAATTAAAAAAGGGAGTTTTAGATGGAAGGTCTGGTAATTGTCTTTTAAGAAAAGAAAAGAATAATTAGTGTTCCAAATGAATACATAACTTAAATTAGAAAAGAAATACTGGATTCTTATCAAAAAGAAAAAGAAAAAAAACGGATTCATGATTTTTATGAGTCAATTCAAATGTCAGCTCTGTTCATTTGTTGTAAAGATGGCTATTTTTTACAGCCCGCCATGGAAAATAATGAATGGACAGAATTGAGATTTGTGTACAAATAGTCCTCGACTTACAACCACAAAATTCCAAAATTCCTGTTGCTAAGTGAGAAAGTTAAGTGAATTTTAGTCCATTTTTCAAACTTTCTTGCCATAGTTGTTAGGTGAATCACTGCAATTGTTAAGTTAGTTACATGGTTGTTAAGTGAATTTCACTTCCCAATTGACTGCTTGTCAGAATTTATTGGATTATCACTTTGATCCAGGAGTATTATTTATTGGATATGTTATTGGATTAAAATTATTCTGTTCTATCCCAAGAAAATGACATTCCCTCCTAAGAAAGGGTTATTCCAAGTCTGAGGATAAAGGATAAAGTAAAGTCAAGGATAAAGTAAAGCCCTTGAAAACAATGACTTAATATTTGAATTCATGGTTAGGAAAGTTTTAAAATAGTTTGATATGATACCTGCATTGATAAACTCTGATTTGTGAATTTTCACATTTGGGTTAGAAAGTATGGTTTTGTTAAGTGTCTAAACTGTCAATTCAATGAAAACGGTTCTATTTCCTGAAATTATGCTGCTTACTGAAGTGCTGAGAAATGGGAAATAGGAACAGAAAAGCAACTCTAAACATATATTCTTTTATATACAGACTATTTGACCATGCATATTGTTATATAATGCTGCTTTGAAGATGTCTTCCATCTTCTTCTGGGTCTGCCTCATGCTCTTTGACCTTCTCCTCTTTGTATGTATGCCTTATATGGTATGCAATTCCCACGTTTCAGTAAATGCTGTTTCTAAATATTTGAACTCTGATACTTGTTTTATGCTTATTTCCTCTATTACTATGTTTAAGGTATACTTTTCTCTTCTGATTACCATCACTTGTTTTTTGTTTACTAATTCTCATTATTATTTGTCTTACATTCTTGATTCATGGACATGAGTTGTTGTTGCAGTTCTTTAGCTGTACTTGCTATCAATGCTTGATCATCTGGAAAGAATAGTTCTTTGATATTATTGTCTTTTCTGAGCTTGGCTTCTTTGCTTATGCTGTCAGTGTAAAATAAATAATAGAGGTGATAAAATGCAACCATGTTTTACTCCAGATATTATTATGTAGCTTGGTTTGTTCTGAACTACACTTCTGCAAGTGCTACCGTGTTTCTCACATAATAAGGCCGGGCCTTATTTTTTTTTGAGCCCCGAAAAAACGGCTAGGCCGTCTTTTCGGGGGGTGACTTAATTCCCCCCCTTGCATCCTCGCCAACAGCCGCTCCTAACGGGCGATCATGGCCAAGCACAGAGAGCTCCCTACTCCCACCTTTGCTGCAGACACCTTTGGCACCCGCCGCTGTTGCTTTCCCTTCTGCCCATTCCGCTGCCACATTTGGAGCTGCCGCTTCTGTGTTTGGAGTGCCGCCGCCATTTGGAGCTCCAAACGCGGAAGTGGCAGCTCCAAACATGACGGCGGGCGATCTTTTTATTTTGGTCCGCGCGAAGTTCAAAGCGAGCAAGAGAGGGAGACTGCGATGCCTCCATCCGAGATGGCAACCTCACTAGTGGATCACAACGTGGCTGGAAGCCCGAATCGGCGGGATATGATGGCGATCTTTTTGAGCGAGAGGAAAGGGAGAAAAGAGTTGCGAGGCGTAATTTGCAGGAGGAAGTGGGTGTACCCCACGGCAGGGAGCCCAAGGAAGAAGGGCTGGTAGGCAACGGAGAGCGTCCCGTAGCTCCGGAAGCAGCCTAGAGACGCGCCCGGGAAGAGGCGCAGATGCTGCCTTGCAGTCCCCAAGCCAACTGCGTGCGCCGCCTTTAGTTATGTGCGCTCCGCGCTTTGGGCATCTCCGTGTGATCGCGACCCTGTCCTTTCCACCTGGCGCCCTTGCAGCTTTCTGGCTCTTTAGCAACCGGCTTCGTGTTTGGAGCACTGCCGCTGTTTGGAGCTCCAAATGGCGGCGGAAGCTTCCAAATGTGGAAGCTCCAAACATGACGGTGGGCGATCTTTTTATTTTGGTCTGCGCGAAGTTCAGAGCGAGCATGAGAGGGAGACCGCGATGCCTTGCTAAAGAGCCAGAAAGCAGCAAGGGCGCCAGGTGGAAAGGACAGGGTCGCGATCACACGGAAGCGCGATCACACATGCCCAAAGCGCGGAGCGCACATAACTAAAGGCGGCGCACGCAGTTGGGTTGGGGACTACAAGGCAGCATCTGCGCCTCTTCCCGGGCGCGTCTCTAGGCTGCTTCCGGAGCTACGGGACGCTCTCCGTTGCCTACCAGCCCTTCTTCCTTGGGCTCCCTGCCGTGGGGTACACCCACTTCCTCCTGCAAATTACGCCTCGCAACTCTTCTCTCCCTTTCCTCTCTCTCCAAAAAGATCGCCATCGTATCCCGCCGATTCGGGCTTCCAGCCACGTTGTGATCCACTAGTGAGGTTGCCATCTCGGATGGAGGCATCGCAGTCTCCCTCTCTTGCTCGCTTTGAACTTCGCGCGGACCAAAATAAAAAGATCGCCCGCCGTCATGTTTGGAGCTGCCACTTCCGCGTTTGGAGCTCCAAATGGCGGCGGCACTCCAAACACGGAAGCGCCATCTCCAAACGTGGCAGCGGAATGGGCAGAAGGGAAAGCAACAGCGGCGGGTGCCAAAGGTGTCTGCAGCAAAGGTGGGAGTAGGGAGCTCTCTGTGCTTGGCCATGATCGCCCGTTAGGAGCGGCTGGTGGCGAGGAATTCCGGCCCGCCGGGCGCTCCTAACGGCAAGTCTCCCCGCCCTTCCCCCTTATTTTGCATATTTTAAAATAGGCCTAAATTTGGGGGGAGGGGCTTAATTTGATTTTATGCCCAAAAAACATGCTGGGCCTTCCTATTGGTGGAGGCCGTATTGTTGGAGAAACACGGTATGTAAGCTTGTATATAATCTAATAGATCAGGGCTGTCAAACTCCCAGCCTGCGGGCCGGATGCATCATGCACTGGCCACGTCCATGCCCAGTTTATCGAAGGGGGAAAAAGTCCTGATATGTCATGTGATGCTGCCATGACGACATGAGTTTGACACCCCTGTAATAGATGATCACTTACTCTATATTGGTCATTGTTTGCCATAGTAATTTCCTATCAACTCTATAAAATGCTTTCTTTTAGTCTACAAATGTGATTAAGAGGTTCTTATTGTGTGCTATTTTAGTTATATTAGCTGCATCTGTACAGTTTCTGTCTCCCCTAAAGTCCACCTGTTGTTCCGCTCATTGTGGGTCTTAATCTCATTTTTATTATTTTGGCATACACTTTCCTTGCATGTCAAGAGTGAGATGCCTCAGTATTGTGTGCACTCTCATTTGCTCCATTTCTTTTTCCATAGTAATATTATTATTGCATGTTGCCAGTCACTAGATGCAGTTTAGTTAAGTCCATGCTGCATTACAGATTCTATGTAGCTATTGATGTTATTTTCCCCAAGTGTTTGAATTATTTCTGTTGGTAGCCCATTCTGGTGATTTATAGTTACATGACTCTTTAAACAAATCTTGCCACTTGTTCAATCAATATTTCTGGTTCTAGTGCTATTATATTGTAGTCTTGCATGATACTTCATGATACTTTCCTAGGGGATTGAAGAATTCTTTGAAGCATTCTCTCCACCTTTCTATTATTTCTGATGGTTTTATTAGTGACCTTTTATTCTTATCATTAATTATTTCTGTGAGGTTATAATTCTCTCTTTTCCATATAGTTTTGACTACTTTGTAAAACATTGTGCAGGTTGTTCTCTCATTGTCTACTAAAGATTTTCCCAAGCACTCTCAGGATTCTCATTTTGCTTTCTTAATTATCCTATTGGCATCTCTACACTGTAATCTGTAGTTTATACAATCTTCTTTCTCTGATTTTACCAACATTTATACAGATAGTCTTCAACTTAGGACCACAATTGAGCCCAAAATTATGTTGTTAAGTGAGACATTTGCTAAATGACATTTCTTGCCAAAGTTGTGAAGTGAATCACTGCAACTGATAAGTTAGTAACCTGTTGTTACATGAATCTGGCTTTCCCCATTGACTTTATTTGTCAGTAGGTTGCAAAAGGGGATCACATGACCCTGGAATATTGCAACGGTCATAAGTATGAACCAGTTGGCAAGAATTTTGATCACATGATCATGGGGATGCTGCAAAGGTTGTGAAAAAAAGGTCATGTCACTTTTTCCAGCATCTTTATAACTTCAAATTGTCACTAAATGAACTATTTATTGTAAGTCGAGGACTATGTGCATAACTCTTTTTTTCAACTTTATTGCTTCTTTAGCCTCTTCATACCACTGTGTTTGTTCATTCTGCCTTTTTCCACTTTTCCTTTTTCCATATAGTTCTTCTATGATGTTAAGCCGGGGAGTTCTGTATCCTTTCCATTCATCCTCCACATTTCCCACCTCTGGTGACTGTTAATTAAATGGTGTCTTCACCTTTTGTTGTAACTCTTCTAGTGTAGCTGTTTAAATCTTTCTATATTAATTATTTTCTAATTTTTATTTTGTATTTTTCTGTTAATATTAAGATTACCTTTTTTATTAGCACTATAGTCTTGTGATTGGTATCACATACTCCACCAAGGATTGCTTTTGCATCAAATATTCTATATCTTTTTTTTTTTTTGCTTTTGCATCAAGTGTTCTGTATCTTCTTTTTACTTTTCTTAATGTGTAATTGACCTGACTTAGTAGTGCTTTCATTCAATTTATATGTCGTGAGTCTCAATGTTCAAAAAAGGTATTAGTAATAAAAAGATGGTGTTCACTATGTAAATCTAGCATCTTTTGCCCATTCTCATTCTTTTCACACTGTTCTTAGCAACACATGGGCAAATGAACTGCTCACTCCCTTTTATTACTACCTACTCTAGCACTGAAATCTCCCATTACATACAGTACAGTGTTAGCTTCCATTTTTTCCTATGCCCTCAGTGGTTCATTGAAAAATTCATCCTTTTGTTCTTCTGTGTATTATCACTACATGGGGCATATAATTGTACATGTTTCAATTTTCTCTCCAGTTTTGATTTTCAGTATTATTAGTCTGTCAAGAAGGAACATTTAAAACTTGTGAAAAATACAATTGAACAAAACAAAGGGATTAATAGAGCAAAATGCAAGCTTATAAATACAAGAAAGAAGGTCTGTGCATTAAAACATGAAGATGGTTCTCTGTGTAGAACAAGATAGGAAATGTTTGAAATAATTGGAAAATTCTATTCAGAGTTATACAAAGATCAAGTCCACTCAAAAGTAACAACACCCATGAAAAAGGAAATGTCAGATATTTTAGTGGAGGAAGTATCAAATGCCTCAAAATAAATTTTTAAAAAAGGCAAAGCTTCAGAAAATGATTGTTATGGTTGAAATGTTAAAAACTGGCGATCACAGTTTACACAAGATACTAAAGAAATATACTTGAGATACCTAAGAGATGAAAAAATACCTGATGCATGGAAAAATGCTAAAGTGATTCTTTCACACAAGACAGGGGCCAGGATGATTTTAAAAATTATCACCCAATAAGTCATCTTTCAGTCATCTATAAGGTTTTCACCAAGAGAATAGCAATAAGAATATTGAAAACATTAAATGATGCACAGCCAAATGAGCAAACAAGGTTTAGAAGTGCATTAAGAAGTAGAACAGTGGATTACTTCCAGGTTGTTCAGCAAGTCATTGAAAGACACAATCCCATGTTCTGTGCGTGGCTTTCATTGACTACAAAAAGGTTTTTGACTAAGTATTTCAGCAAGCAATATTTAATTGATCAACCAAGGCATAGACACTGCTTACATAAACTTATTACAATCTATATGAAAAAACAATAGTGACAATTTGCCATAATGATCTTAGTGGAAATCAACATAGAATGAGGTGTACAACAATATCACCTATCCTTTTCTCAGCCTGCCTTGAAAAAGTATTTTGCAAACTAGATTGGACAAAAGATAGAAATAAAAATTAATGGTGCCTAATTAAATCACTTAAGATTTGCAGATGATGTTATTTTCTTCTCACAAGATCCAGAAGAGCTACAAAGATGCATACAAGAGCTGCAAAAGCAGAAGAATCATTTGGCTTAAAAATAAACCTGAAAAAGTGCCTGGTTATGTTTAATAAATTCACCAAAGAGTGGATTTTTTTAATGACTGGAGACCTACTGTAGGTGTAGTCAGCCACTACATAAAACTTGGCCGATAGATCTTAGGTGATACTATAAAGGAAATTGAATGGTGTGTTAAATGTGGTTGGTGGGTATTTAGCAAGCTAAGCACAATTTTCAAAAACAATTTACTCCCATGACTGAAGACAGAAATTTTCAATCGGCTTGTGCTACCTGCTCTAACACATGCTGTTGAAACATTGACACTAACCTCACAATTGAGACAAAGGCTATGAGTGGTGCAAAACAGCCATGGAAAGATATATATTCAGCATTAGAAGACAAGACAGAAAGACCTGCACATGGATTAGAGAACAAGCAAAAGTATACAATATCATCAAAAGAGTAAAAGAATTGAAATGAAAGAAGCAAGAAGAACTGATGGCAGTCATAGAATGGATCCCACTTGATAAAAACCTTCCATGAAAGAAACCTAAAAGATGGATCGAATAACATCAGCAAGTGTTGTGGGCCCAATTGGCAAAAGAAAGCTCAAGACTGTATTGATTGGAAACATGTGAAAGAGGCCTTCATCCTGCAGTGGAAAGACAATGGCGATGATGATGATATTGTGTCTGAATAGTTGTTAATGTCTAGGATGCATTTTGCTATATCTGAATCTGCCCAGCCCATTCTATTTTTTGCTACGTCCCTTCCTTAGTAGATAAGTATCCTTTCTGAATTTCCTTGTTCTTTGTGTCTTATATCGGCTAGTCCCATGATCTTAATCCCTCTTCTTTCCATTCTTTCCAAAATTTCTATTTTATTTGCCATGCTGGTCATATTCAAAGTTCCTGTTTTGTATTTTGTTGCCCTATCTATTGGTCTTTTGACAATTGCTGGGATCATTTCTCATTGGATCAGTCCATTTGTATCACATGTGGATTTGTGTAGCTGTATAATAATATAATAATATAATATAATATAATATAATTAATATAATAATATAATATAATATAATATAATATAATATAATATAATATAATATAATATAATATAATATAATATAATAA